TTTTAATATTTTATATTGCATTTCACAATTTTATATTGCATTTTATTCTAGATTATTTTAAGTATTTTATTTTAGTTTATATTGCATTTTATTTTAGTATTTTATTTTAGTGGTTTATATTGCATTTCATTTTACTTTCCCATTTTGTTTTATTTTATACTTTGCTTTTGTTTAGTGCTTTCAAGCATATTTGTCATGGTTGTTGGAAGGCATGAACCTCTTTCTTAACCATGTCTGAATCCAATCCCTACCTTCTCTCTCTCTCTTTCTCTGTCTGGCCCAGGGACTGGTGCCCAGAACAGCCGGACAACTGGTACGGCCACGAACTGGGAGGCGGAGAGGACTGTGCCCACCTTCACCGCAACGGCTGCTGGAACGATGACCACTGCAGCCGCCTTTATGGCTCCGTCTGCGAGATGGAGATGGATATGTAAAGGGGGGGGTGCTGGAGGAGGAAGACCACCGACCCAGCATTGTCCCCCTGTCCCCCCCAAAGTGGACAATCCACCATCTTGGGTTTGGACTGAATGCTGGTTTGATGCCTTGATTCGCACTCAAAATGGTCGCTTGCTTCCATCTTGAAACCGGGGCCTGTGTGAACTTCCGGCCTTTGATGGCCTCCCTTGTTCCTCCTCCCTTCCTCGCTCTGGGTCCAAACTTGACAGGTAGTCCTCGACCCTTACGACCCTCTTTGGTTTAGTGACGGTTCGAAGTTACGACGATGCTAAAGAAAGGGCTTGATCCAAATTGGAAAGGCTTGGCAACTGGCATGGACTCATGCCTGTTTGTAGACTCCCCACTTTTAGGGGAACCTTCTTGACAAGCCAGGGGAAGCCGGATTCACTTTGCGACTCGCTGAACGACAGCAGGGATTAGCTCAGCAACGGCAGCCAGGAACGTCATTCTTTCCTGGAGCAAAAGCTCACTTAGCAACTGTCTCACTTAACAACCGAAATGTTGGGCCAAATTGGAGCCATGAGGTAGTCCTCAACTTACGACAAACATGGAGCCCAGAATTTCCATTTTTAAGTCAGGGCAGTCTTAAATCAAAGGCAGGCATCATGACCGGATCCAATTTGATACCTTCTTTTTTGTGAATGTGTATGTGTGTGAGACGGTCATTAAGTGAGCACCATAAGGAAATCGGATGTATTCCTATGTGCATTTTTGGAAACAGGGAAAACTATATCACCAAAACCAATAAATAAATAAAAGTCGGGTGACCGCAGAACTTCAGAATTGGGACACAAGTAGATTTTGGGGTGGTCCGTCGTAAGTCTGAACAGTCGCTCGTTGGTCGTAAGTCGAGGATTACCTGCCTGCTTTGACTGCACACTTACCGGAAGAGGACAACGGTCAGAGGTACGAGTTAAATTTGACCTCTTCCTCTGCTATGAGGGAGAATTTTGTTCGATGTGTGTATCATAGATGTAAAACGTGCATTAAAGGATACTATCAAGTCCATCCGATCGAGTCCTCGGCATCAGCCAGGCAAGGAATCCGGTTGCCTGCAGGAGTAAGTAGATTTTGGAGAGTGAGAATGCAGAATAACAGAGTTGGAAGGCACCTTCAAGGTCTTCTAGTCCAGCCCCCACCCCGCCCAAGGTCATAAAAACATAGGGCTGGAAGGGACTTTGGAGGTCTTGTAGTCCAACACCCCCTGTCCAAGATCATAGAAACATAGGGCTGGAAGGGACTTCGGAGGTCTTCTAGTCCAACCCCCCCCCCTCCAATATGATAGAAACATAGGGCTGGAAGGGACTTTGGAGATCTTCTAGTCCAACCCCCCCTATCCAAGATCAGAGAAACATAGGGCTGGAAGGGACTTCGGAGATCTTCTAGTAGTCCACCCCGCCATCTCCAATATGATAGAAACATAGGGCTGGAAGGGACTTTGGAGGTCTTGTAGTCCAACCCCC